CAGCGATCATTTCTTCACAGTAAAACTCCATCATCTTCATCATTGGTGTGGTCCGACATCAGTCTGAGTAGAGGCACATGGGGTCGCCGTTTTCTACTCATTGTAACATTGTTCTCGCTGCTGCCTGTTTACAGCAGCATATCTGAGCTCATCTACCACCATGTATCCCTGTACAGTAAAAAAAAACATTGATATATCATGTCAAGCATGAAACCAGAATTGGCTTCTCGAAACATTCACTCAATTTAACATTACTTGTAATAGAGTATTTTTTTTTTATATATAACTTTACTTGTCGTGAAGTATTTTTAGATACCTTTTCTTGTAATGGATTATTTGTTATAGTTTTACTCGTAATATAGTATTTGATATACTTTCACTTGTCATGGAGTCAGTTACCTTTACTTGTAATGGAGTGTTTTTATACCTTTACCTGTGAGTATTTAATATATTCCTTTTCTCGTGATGCAGTATTTTTTTTATATTCCTCTACTGTTAATGGAGTACTTTTTTTAAAAGTGTGGTATTGGTACTTTTCCTCGAGTAAAGGATCTCCCACCGGTGCCCGTCAATTACTTGACACCTACAGGAAGAGATGAGAGTGTCCCGCAAGAAAATGTCCTTCAAAACATTTCAGTTAGATTTATTTAAGGAACCTTTCTGCCAACAAGAGCTCTGTGAATCCAGCTTGGTACTACAGAATGTGTGTGTGTGTGTGTGTGTGTGTGTGTGTGTGTGTGTGTGTGTGTGTGTGTGTGAGGGGGATAGAGGGACGCTTTACAGCCTGCCTTGATTTAATTTAATGCACCATACAGTTTAGGGGGTATGAAGCTGTTCCAGTTTTTTTTGGGGCACAGTTTATGAAAACACTTGCAAATATAAGCCTTAGTGAATATATACTACTTTAAACTTTCTCTCAGAGGATATTTAGTTTTTTTTTCCATTTTCTCTCGAGGGGGTTTTAGAAGTTAATCAGATTACTTTTGGGGGCGCCCATAGGATTAAAAGTGAACTGTTCGTGTGTAGACTCCCCTTGGTGTTTGTTTAAAAGCAGGATAGCAGAGCTCCTGCCGCTCCCCCTTTGCTCGCAGGCGGTGGTGTTGGCTTTTGGGTTTTCTGTCCCGGGCCTTGGTCAGAGCCTGCGACCTCGCCAGACCTCAGAAAACGACGAGAATGTCTCAGCGTGGATACCATCTCACATGGCACAAAAAAAATGCAACGAGCTTCTTGAGTTTCTTCAATTGAGCAGCCAGAAGCATGCGGATTTAGAGCAAAAGTGGCAGCGATCAGTTGCTCAAAGTGTCTCTTGACAACAAACCGAGGCTGTGACCGACGTCACTCAATTACCGGGCTTATCGTAAGAACGACGGGCTTAACCTCAACCCTCCAGCTCCGTTGCGTGAATTTTTCCTCTCTAATTAGCCGAGGGGAAGGCCGCGTTCTGTGCCGCTACGAGACCGAGGTCAGCTGATGGATGCTGGGAGCCGACTCCAAGACACTAATTGGCCAACTTTTCCCAAAACACACTCAAGACGCGGCTCGGGGGGGCCACGTGTTTTCCTAGGATGTGCAGGGAAACCGCAGCACCCGATAAACAAATCAGTTTCATGTCGAATTCTGCAGTCGGAGACAGCTGCGAGTCTCCAATGCAGCGTTGACCAATCTCAGATAGCGGTGGTGCACATTACAGAAGGTGTTGTCTGGGTAAGCTTAGCTTTATCCATCTAATTCAATTACTCGTGTTTTAAAAGGTATCGGTTCACACTTACTTTTACTGCTGACGGGGGGGATTTACTAATCCAGCCTGGCGCAGTTAACTTGATTGAAAACAGACCAAACATCCGAAGGTGTCCGATAAAAGGTAAAGTTTTAATAGAAATTGTGATATTAGGAAAAATATTATATTTATTTTTTAATAAGCAAAATACCTATTTTTTTCTACCGTTTTTTCTTTCTTAAATTTACAGTTGATTCTCATGCAATACAATTGACTGTTCTCATCAACGATACAGATGAAATGTTGAATCGTAGGAAGCAAAGTGTTCTGAAGGCATTCGTGTGTGTGTGTGTGTGTGTGTGTGTGTGTGTGTGTGTGTGTGTGTGTGTGTGTGTGTGTGTGTGTGTGTGTGAATGGTCGCAGTAGCTTTTGTTCGCTGTCAAGGTGTGTGAGCTGATCGCTTGGCTGAAATAAACTACAGCTCAGCTTTTGTGTCTTCTATGAAGGGCAGAAACACTGATGGTTGTAAAGAGCTGGTGTGAGGAATGCTGTGTGTGCATGTGTGCATGTGTGTGTGTGTGTGTGTGCGTGTGCGCAGCAATGCTATTATTTGGCACTGTTATCACAGTGGTCCTCTTGAGAAGAGATGGCAGTTGTTTGAGCAGCAGCAGAGAGCAGGGTTCACTCGGAATGTGTTCTGGTGTCTTTTGGGGAAAAGACTTCCACTTCTAGATGTAGCACCAATATGCTGATGTGTGTTTAATTTCCCTTTAGAGGGTACCAGGAATGATCTCACCTCCTGCTTGTGACAGATATATTTTATGCCTGGTATTGTCTGGTTTCCACCTTGTGGTTGTATTCCTCTGCCAACACGTCTGCCAAAATATCATCATTCATTGTGTAAAATTGTCATAATTAGCGTATGACTTTCTGAGGTATGGCCAAAAAACGTGTTTTGTGAGGTAACAGTGACCTTTGACCACCAAAATATAATCAGTTCAATCTTGAGTCCAGGTGGGCGTTCGTTCCAAATATGAAGAAACTCTCCGATTTCCTGCCAGGAGCGAATCTTTCAAACACGCTTTTGTTCTCTTTCGCTTGGCAAAAGGTGTTTCCACAACAACCAAGTCAGAAGCATCATACTAACGTGATGTAATTGTGATTGCTGGCCAACCCAAACAGGTCTCCTGTGAACTATTAAAATTCAGTCGAACCAGTCATACATATATACAATTCAACGATTCCTATCATTACACACAAGAGAATACTTTGTCTCAAAATGATCAATATACTACAGTAACATGAGGTACATGTCTTGCTGAAGCAAAAGCTTAAGAGCGTCCCGTGTCAGGGAAGGTGTTTGATCATGACTGAATTGTGAAACAGGGGCCTCCACACGTCTCTTCTTCAATATCCAAACGGCAGTATTCTCACCGGGGGCCGCGTAGTCCGCCGGGGCTAGAATTCCCCTGTCTTTTAGGATGGTGAAGCGATCTTTGTAGTGTAACAGAGACGCGTCCGCAGGTCTGGGACCGTGCACTGAGCCTCCACCGGCTGAACTCCCCTTACATAGTAATCCCTGTTACCTGCAGGCGGGCGCAGAGATGGCTTTCACCAAGTGTGGCCCAGAATCACAGAGAGACTGAACCTGCACGGACAGACGGCTCGGTGACGGAAGAATTGAATCCATTGTTGATCTCCGTGGCTAAAAATGAATGCCAATTTTGTCACAAATCTATGAATTAAAGAAAACGCGTCACAATAGTTTTGTGCAGAGACGCACTCTGTCAGGGTTGTGGCTATCGGTTGGGATTCGGGGGGGGGGGGGGGCAACAGGAGTCACGCACACAGGTGTAAATCTAGCTAAAGAAGACAATGGAAACATCGGATCCGTGTCGCTTTAAGAGAAAGACGGGTATAAACGCAGTCAGAAGAGTTCTCAGGACACAGGAGTAAAGGCAATCATTTCAACCAGAGTCTGTTGAATGGAGACGTCATCAACGTGTGGAATCGTGGCATTAAAAGTCTTTTTACACACTGAGGCCAGAAGCAGGCAAGGGAGAACAAGCAGAGACAGAGCGCTAACTAAAGACAGAAGTCACCGCTGATAAGACGCAGAGCTGCTAATGCGAGTGTGTGTGTGTGTGTGTACTTTAGAAAATATATTGTAATTAGGTCCTTGGAGTGGAGAGGAGTCTCGGGGGTCCCAAACAAACACACACACATGCCAGTGAGAAGCCAGATTGAGGGATGCTAACGGGAAGTGAGGGCTCCTCCATTACGATGGAGCAGATGATAAAAAGAGCAGCGTGGAGAGGTGGTGCAGAAAAATACACAAACAGAGTAGACTCTTAGAGTATGTACCCGCACATATCTGTATCAGAAGCGTTGCTGTTAATAATGCATGAGCGCTCCTGTGGTGGTGGTGGGAGGCCCGGTGTCTCGGACGGCCGGGCCCTAATGAAGTCGGGCATGTCAGCCTCGCTCCCGCTGCCAGAGAGTCATGAATAAACATCGATTGGCTAATTAAACTCACCGTACTCGTCGGTAAACAAGCGACGGCGAAGGGGGTCCCGGGGAGGCACGATGATGCCAGGCCTTCACTTCACTCTGTTGCTGTGCAGCGTGGACCCTGGAGAGCAGGCGAGGACGGCGAGGAGAAGAAGTGGAGGAATGAAAAGGGGAGCGTATTTGAGTCAGAGACGGAGAAGGGACAGATGGAGAGAGGTGGGGAAAAGGATATAAAGTAGTGCACTGGGTATGCGGTGAATAAAAGTACAGCCTGAATGAGTTCTGCTTCCTGCTGAATTATCAGGTTACATTAAGCTTTAACTGACTGTGAATAAACTTTAAAAGGTGTAAGTATGACAGTCAGCTTATTCCCACTGCCGAGGTCATTATCTTTTACAAGTCAGGACTTTGTTCACTGGCATAAAGGTATTGTTTTATATTCATGTCAATTCAGTTGTCGTAAGAAACAATAAGAAGTTACAGTTGGAACAGGGGCGTATAAACACCTCTTTAGCCGAGTGGTTACAGCACACGCCACAGATTCGACTCCAGCCTTGGAACCTTTGTAGCAGGTCACATACACTGTCAAATAAAGTCAAAAATGCCCCTGAATGCTCCTCATCACATGCTTTTTTTTTTTTTTTTTTTTTCAATCATTCGCACAAAGTTGTTGCCATCGTTTACCGACTGTTAAATTAGTTTTAACAGCTGCGACCCGTTTTGTTACTCACCTATTCAAACCTCTCTGCTTCCCGTTTCCTTCTCTCCGCAGCCTGCAACTGTAACCTCCACGCCCGGAGGTGCCGCTTCAACATGGAACTGTACAAGCTGTCGGGGAGGAAGAGCGGAGGGGTCTGCCTCAACTGTCGCCACAACACCGCGGGGCGCCACTGCCACTACTGCAAGGAGGGCTACTACCGAGACCTGTCCAAACCCATCTCACACAGGAAAGCCTGCAAAGGTACAGAGCTTGTTTTATTCGTTTTCTGGACAGGGGAAGTTTTTTAACACACATGTGGAAAACAAACCAAGTATCCGATTTAATCGCAAAGTTTTGGAAATAACGCTCGACGCCATTTCATCAAAAACTTTATACCAAGACACGCATAGCAGCACTGAGATTGTTTAGTTCTGGTAGGAAACAGTTCTAGATGATTTACAGGAAGCGGGGGGGCGGCAGTCTTCTCATTCCTGAGCCTGCCTCGCCCTCATCTCCCTCTGTCAGCGGAGATGAGCTGGGGGTCTGTTGGGATTTGTGGAGGTCGTGGTGGTAAAGGGAGGGCTGCTCCCTCATCGACAGTTGAGTTATTTGGCTTCGTTCTGGGAGGGAAGATGGTGGTGGTGGTGGTGGTGGTGGTGGGTGGGGGGGGATGACAGGACAAGCAAAACAAACAGAGCGGAGGTGTGAAGTGATCCTCGGTACAGGTCAAAGACGAACGATAAACCCGGGGAAGATCGGTGGAAGGGAGGAAAGGAAAGAAAAAGAGGGAGGCGGGGGGAGGGGGGGTTAAAGCAAAAAGAGAGGGGTGGCAAGAGAGTAAAAGAAGGGAGGGAGGGAGGAAGGGAGGGTAAGGAAGAGGAGCACACCCCCACACAGGTGTGCTCGCCACTCAGTGCTGGATGAATCGCCCGGCATCAGCCCTCACCGTAGCTAATAAGGGTCAAAGGAAGCGAGGAGGAGGAGGAGGAGATTTTCTCACCTCCTCTATAGCTGCAGGGAGAGACAACAGGAGCTGAATCCATGTGCAAACAAGCCCAGAGACACCTCAGAGTTGCTCTGTAGAAATACAGCTTGCACGCACGCACACACACACACATACCTGCTCCAGGGTTTCAGAGCGCTCACTTCCAAAGAGGAAATATTAGCTGCCTGCTGACAGTTGAAGCCTGCCGAGTTGTCTCCCATCATTCACCGCGGGGTAAATAAATAAACTGACCGGCGAGTCAGTTTCGCAGACGGCGCGTCAGATGACTCTGGCGAGACGAGGCGATACGTGGAGGTGTATTTGATTTACCCCTGACTAACACAGTTGATTAATGTCATTTTCACCTTTTCCCTGATGACACAAACATCGATCAAACCGACGCAAAAGAAAACGTCACACACGTTGCATTCGGGCCTCGTTAAATTCCTGAGATCCAGCGACCGCTCTCCGCTCCTCCGGCATGAACACTACTTCATAACAAAGCTCCGTCGACAAACGCACCCATTTGGCCCTTTCCCCTGCAGCCGCTCACGAGCTCTATTCCTCCATTGACACTAACACCTTCCGTGGCTTTGGGCCCATTCTCCTGTCGGCCAGGAATGCAAACATACAATTCATCACGACGGGACGTTGTGTATCATTAACCCCTATCCTCCGCTGTGTCTGTCAGGCCGGCTAATTGTGGAGATTTAACCTCTTTATTTTTTTTTTCATGTTGTTGTTCTTACACCCCTCCTCATGTGTCAGAGGCTCGATTCTTTCAGCGTCCCATAACTCACTTTCATGGGGGTTTGTTTCTCGTAACGGAAGGAGTCGGAGGTCCTGCTGAGCGTTTCACCACAGAGTTATTAAGATTAGTTGAATCGGTTTACTTGCAGACAAAAGATACATTTCACAATAAATAGATAAAATATGAATGCAGAGCATAAACGCATAATTAGGAGGATTTGTGCCAAAATACAGCACATTTTCATCCTAGTCTAACATTTAAATCATATTTAAATTCAAATTAACTGTATAATTTATCATTATACCACAATTTTCTCTAATGCATTACACGTTTTAGATTATTCACATTTTTTAATCAGCAAACAAATGATCAATCCAGCATGTTTCTGATGATTTCAGGCTGGTTTTCTTCTTCTTATTTCATCGCCTACTCGATTGAGTTTTTCTCAGTTTGCTCGCCACCGAAAATGAGAGAAGCTGGAAACACGCAGGCAACATTTGGGTCACCAGAGGAGAACAAATCCAAGCTTTCGTCGTATAGAGACAAATTAAACCTCAGTTCGTGTTGAATGTTTTGTACCGTAACTAGAAAACAGCCGGCCTGTAGCGAGACAAAACGGTTTCCGTGGTAATCTGCTCTCGTAACGACCATGACGACTACTTTGATGATCGAAAACTTTGGATGAATCGGTGAAGTGAAAGTCTAAACACAGAGTAGAAAAATAATTAAATAATGCACCTGGTGTGGACCTCCGGCATATGGGACATGTGGGGGGGGGGCTCTGGATTTTATGTCCACGTGGAGCATTTTGAAATCTAGTGCTACTGGTCTGGAACTCTGCCTCCTTCATCTTCATCTTCATCTGTCCTCTATACGCATGGATTATGTCTCTGTTCTCATCTGTTTGGACTCTGCATGGTTCTCTTACTCTCCTGCTGCTAATGTGTACATGCGACATTCTGTCTTTGTTTTAAACATTATTACACTGGGGGCATTGCAATGGCATTGTTTTCACTATTTTCTGACATGTCAAAACTAAATATAAATGAATGAACTGATTGATAAAATAATTGAAAGGTTAATCAGTATAATACATTAGTTACAGCTGTAATTATTGTTCTGATCATCACTAATGTCATTGTTGTGACTCAACATCGGCCCAGTCTTCAATCTGATCTATAATTGTATTGTTACTATAGCATAATGATAGCGCTGCAGGCTAGCAGGAGTGCAGGCGTGTCATACACTCGTTACATCAGTCTCCAAGCTGGTAAATACTAAATCAACTCACTGCTGACTCCCTCACATTCACTGTTGCCTCTCACCGAACTACAACGTAAACACATTTCATCATCGCGTATGAAATCGTTGTTTTTTTTTTTTTGTTCCGATTCCATCCATGAAATTTGCCAGAGCCTGTGCACTGTTTCCCGCCTCTCCTGTGTGATTATAAGCAAACGCTGTCCAAGTTGGACTGAGGCATTCGGTTACATCAAAACAGACTCACAATAAATAATCTGTGGTGATTAAACCCCCCCGAAGCTGACAAATGATACAGCGCATGAGCTGGTTCTTTTCGCCAATTCAAACATTTTCGCAAACTATGTTTGGAAAGTTACAGATGAAGACTTTAAAGATGTGTGTCATTGTATTTCATGCCCTCTCTGTTAATATACTTACAGTTACCACACGCAGCTTTCTTTTTCCATGCTTGCTGTCAAAAGTCTCTCAGCTTCAAAAACATCGTAATTCTACGAAACTCAAACCGCAGAACTAATTTTCTGTCCGCTCCTTGAGCAGAGTAAGCGCTGCGCCAAAGTGACAGCAATTAAGAGGTTTGGTTATTTATTGAGCTCAAAAAGAGATGGGGGGGGGGGCTTCTCGTCAGGGGAGAATGGGCACTGGAAGGAGGCAGCGTGAGATTTTGCTTGTACTTGCGAAATGCGATCTCCCCCCCCCCCCAAAAAGCACCTTGTTTCCACAGGAGGCCACCACGAGTCCCAAAGAGAGCGAGCTGTGCCCGGCGGCTACGCTGACACGGCTAAATTTATAACTTCACCCCTCATTGAACTAGAGTGTAAACACAGCGTGCGTTTCGAGCAGCTCTTGCTTGTGTCTTTCGCCGTTTGAAGCCTCCGAGTAAAACACACGGAGCTTATTTGACAAAGAAATGCGTGAACTTAAAAAGCACTCTGGGTGGTCTTTCAACACCTCTGTCATATAACTGAGATACGTTTAATCAGCTGTCTGTCACCCAGGTACTGATTGTTAACGGTCTCAACTTTATTTAAAAAGTTAAACATTGGTTTTTCCTTAAGGGGAGACATTGCAGGTAGAAACATTGATTTTAACGCTCTGGTCAACTTTGATCTATTTTGCTTTCAGAACAGGCTAGTGGGAAAAAACATCCAAAATACACATTTAGCTGTTTATTTTACTAAATTCACCAACAGTAAGCATTAGGTAATGCCATTCATATCATTATCATTCATTGCTTGATATATATACAACATTGTATTCCTACAACATGGAGAAAATTGTATTTTTCAACGGCTGTTGAAGGTATTTTTAGATTTATGGAGTGATACAAAGAGATATCCAAAAATTCCCTCTGTAAAAAACTTGAGTCAGGAATTTTGAACCTGGCTTCATCCAATGTTCACATTTCTGTTCTGGAAATGTATGCAAATAAGCACATATTTGATAAGATAACGCCTCATTGGCATACTCAAACACACATTTACATAAAACTTGTAATACAACAAATAATTGTCTTAATGTAAGTAAATAACTGGGGGAGGTACGGTGACATCTAGTTGTTACATGTTCTACCTGTTCACCAGTAGTGTCTCCCTTTAAACACATCTTGATGTGGAGCATTTCGACATCGATAATTACAGTAGTGGTCCTCTCCAAATAATGAGCCCTGCTCTGGATTAGTCCTCAGAGGAAAATCTACACTCAATAAAAAAATATTGTTTTTCACAACTTCACTTTTCGCTTTGGAATTTCCGTCGTGGGGCGACATCTGCGTGTTTTCAATTACAGAACGACGCACATGTGCTTCAAACATCGTTCACGGAAAGAAGCTCACGTCCGACATTTTGGGGCTCGCTTTGTGGCCACGAGGGCCGTTCGGGGGCCGATATTTTTCCCGATCGATGAAACCTCAAACAAGACGAGAAGCGAAACACACCCTCTACAAGATAAACGCGTCATTTACGGAGCCGTTTGTGTTTAGTGCAACAACCCGATAATCTCTCTCTCTCTTTCTGCTCTCTGAAGATACTTGTGGAGAAGCGTAAAACCTAATTATAATAGAGCACAGACTCGGGTAGCTTGGCTTCACTCCAGGGCCGACAAATTATTCTTATTGGCACAGAACGCACAAACCAAATGGGTGGTGGTGGTGGTGGTGGTGGTGGTGGTGGTGGGGTTCAGACTTCAAACGCCAGCTTTATGGTAAAACGATTGTCAGAGTTCAAAATTCTCACATTGTGCAATCTTAGACTGAGGACGCCTTTGAAATCCACTCTACCCAGTTAACTTAGAACATTTTTCATTCTTTTATACTGCCGGCGCCAAGAGCCTTCTTTAAGCGTTCGAGAATTCCGTCTTCATCTCGAAACATGACAGCTACGACAGGGCTGATGCCTCAGATTCAGCTCTGCTACACGCTCCTACACTTCTGATCATGAACTTCTGTCACAGAGACAGAATGGTCCCCCTCTCTCACCCCCGTATCTCCCTGAGCCATCTGCGGCAGCCACGGAGCAGAGCGCCGGCAGCCACTTAACCGTTAAGTGGACACACACTTAAAAAACAACTCTCACTCGCTACCCTCCAGAGCGAGCCGGCCCTTCAGCCAACAGGTAGGCCGTCCAAGCCAGGGAGTCGGACAATTAGTCGTCCAGCCAGGAAAAGCAGCTCGGAGGCGAGTCAGTCAGTCCTTTCGAGGGAGGAGGAGGAGGAGGAAGAGCGTTTCCCCACCTGTAGGCCATGTGCTGCGCGACTTGATTTACTGGCGAGCTCGAGGCTCTGAGAGCTGCGGTTACCAGGAAGACGCTCTATAAATATCACCGGAGCTCTCTGAAGCTCCGAACCAGAGGTGCACTTTGCCCTCCTGTGCCTCAACCAGCTCTGACACACTCCGAAATTTACAGGCCTGAAGACGTGCTGCACCGGCCTCCGCGCTGTTTATTGGGCTCCCTGATGTGTGTGTGTGTGTGTGTGTGTGTGTGTTTGTGTGTGTGTGAGCTGTTCCTCCCCACTGAGCTAGCAATGACAGATTGGTTTGATAAAAAGGTACAAATAGATACACAAGGAGGCTTCTCTCAGTCTGATAAGGAGGGTGAACAGCACACACACACACACACACACAGACACACACACACACACACACCGAGGAGAGATAAGAGCTGCAACAGAAGCCGAATCACAGGAAACAGGTAATAGAGATAAAAGTGCCAGAGTGTGATAGAGAGGAGGTGGCCTGCTGAAACCTAAATGACGGACTTCACCCTTCAGGATAGAGTTGTCTTGCAGTACTTCTTCAGGAGGAGCACTTCAAAACATCTCACTAAAAACAACAACAACTGTGTCCTTTTCCAAGAGCCCGAGGTCGATCGTGAAGAGTACAGATTCCGTATTACATTACCACTTTACAGCAGTGTTTCCCCCCCCGAGGCCCCGCTGTAATGTGGATCTCCCAGAGTGCACGTCGGTCGGACAGCCTGGATGAATAACAACCATATCAACGTTCTAGGACGAAGAGCACCTTACACTGGAGCTGAAACTTTAGCTTTTTTTAAACGCATAAAAGACATAAATTCCAACAAAAAAATAATTGTGAAATAGCATCTGTCCCCTGCAGTCGGATTACATCATTTACTCCATTGAATGAATGCACAGTAGAAACCTGCGGGTTTTGAATGTATGCATAGGCGTCACTATTAATTAAAAACTTGTTTTGACATTTATTCGTATGAAGCGCTCATTTCAATGCAATTGGGGCCGTAACGGACGGATTGTTTTGAAGCCGTAATTTCGCGCCGGGGGCTAAAAGCAGACCGTGCGGTTAAAAACAAAAACAGGCCAAACCACTAAATACCACCCCCCCCCCGCAAGCCTCAAAGTACATAATTCAGCTATACGCCCTTTGAAGGCTTTTCAGAGTGACAAGTGACACAACACAGGAAAAAAAAATCTTCAGGGGAGGAGGGGCAAAGGAGCAGAGGCCGGCCCAACCCTAGGGTTGAGAGTCGGCACCACTGCTTTTCCATAGGAAATAAAACACAAATTATAACACCCATGGGGTGAGAGATATAGTGGTAGGGTTTGCAGGTTTTTCGAGTGGAAAATTTTGATAGATCACCAAGACTGCTCTGGTCTGGATTATACCGGCAGGATTTTTCTGAACCAACTGAACAGTAGAAGATTCATTCGACCACCTCTCCTCACAATGATTCACATCCAAAAGAAGAAAGAAACTAACTCGCAGATAACTTTTATTTAACGCCAATTTCCGAACTTGACAGGCTGTGAAATGAATTAAAGGGCCTGCATCAGGGGGGAGCAATTGGAAAAATTATTACATTCCTGTAGCATGTGTGTTCCATAGACCCCCCAGTTTGGGAGGAAGTGTGACAGACGTCCTGGGCGCACGTTCAAAGCCCGCCATTAATCAGAACCAGGCAATTAGGATTAGCCTCCATTATTTTATCATTTGGTAAACATGCGCGCGCCACTCTCCTCCCAGCTGCGACACGTTTGCACAGTGAGCGTGCACGTCAAGGCCAAACAGCCACACTTTGGGATTTGAAGATCGTGCAGATACTGTATCCTGGCAGGTTTCGATTCATTCGGATGATGCCTGATGTGCACATGCTAATTAGCTAATTAGCAAACGGTGCCAAAAATGTTTGTAGACAGGGGAGGATGTGGTGCTCTTGTTAGTCGCGGCGCCACGCTCGCTTCAAAATGAGCGCGGTGGCGTTGGACCCCGAGTAAGTTCTGTCTCTGTGTGCACGCCTCCACCTGTCTCTCACCCACTCTTATTATTGTTGCCTCCACTGCTGTGTGCACCACTTGCACTCTCTGTAGATAGCACATGTTTGTATCTCCCCACATGTTTGTGTGTGTGTGTGTGTGTGTGTGTGTGTGTGTGTGTGTGTGTGTGTGCGAGACCACTCACTGTGCCTCTCTTTCTTCCTTTGTTTCCTCACAGCATGTGATTGCCATCCCGTGGGCGCTGCTGGCAAAACCTGTAACCAAACCACAGGACAATGTCCCTGTAAAGACGGCGTGACCGGTATCACGTGCAACCGCTGCGCTAAAGGCTACCAGCAGAGCCGCTCACCCATTGCCCCCTGCATAAGTACGTGGAACCCAAGTCTTTACCAGACTGGTGATGACACACACACATGTGCATATTCGAAAGTCACACACAGCATGCTGCAAAACACAATGCTTGAATCCTCTTTTCTCCAGACAAGCTTTCGTGTCCCGGACTTAACTGTTTTCTGACCGGTAAATCTGCTCCAGCTTAAATAAACACAGCGTTAAAAACTGAGCCTCAAGGTCACGGTCCCGGCTTGTCTCGGTCCCCGTGAATTTGAGTAAAGACGCGGAGCCGTTAACACCAGCGTCTCCGAGCCCCAAAGTGCCTTGGAGGGTTGAATTACAAAATCGATCTTGTTCTCAGCGTCCAATGAACATTTATTAGCCAAAACCTTGTATTACAGCTAAAGATGATGAAAAAAATACGGCATCGCCTGAGGGAAGACTTAACAGCACGGACAGATTGAGGATAGCTGTTGGCCCTTTTGTCTCGGTCTGAAAACACGTTTTAATTGGTGCTCTTGACGTTGTAGTTAGATACTGGGAGCTAAGCACTTACGTGGGATACATCTCAACATGCGACTCTTTTGAGTCCTATTATATCTTTGACTTTGAGTACAGCGCTGTCAGCCATAAATCTATACGCGGGTCAATTATGAGAAGCAGGCTCATTATTTAAAACTGGCCCGCGCGGCGGCTGAATGCTGATGGAAGATTTCTGATCAACAACATCAGAGGAGGGACCTATGGGCTCACTGAGGCGCCATTGTTTTTTTGGCAGCAATTGTTTGTCTTGACATTATAGGCAGACCAATTTGTCTCGGGAGAGGGCCTTGTTATGTCCGCAGGTCAAACAAACAGTGTAGGAAGTTCAGGAAGTTGCAAGCAGGAGATCTGATTCGACTCGATCAAAAAGACTTGATTCTTCACCTTCGCCCAGCTGAATCCACCGCTGCTGTGCACCTCTTTCTCCTTTGCATGCGTCTTTGATACATATTTGTGTCCCCCCTCTCTCCCACCGTGTGTGCACAGACTTTTTGATGAGTCCCTTTCTGCCCACAACAACAACAAAAGGACACATAATGTGTGTTTGTTATCTCCCGTTGCCATCCTGCTCCTTTAGAGATTAGAGTGCCCTTCTTCATGCATGGTTTCTCGGAGTGTCAACTTCCTACCCACAGGAAGCAGCAGCCAGGTACAGGAGGGGAGGATGAAACAGAAAAATAAGAACTCAATAGTATCCTCTCTTAAAGTGAAAAAGTACACTATTTTGTCCTAAAATGCCACATTGGAACAATATGTTTTACTCACATTTGATTGTCTGGCCGCATAAGACTTACAACGAGAGTCACTTTTTCTGGTCAGCTTTCCATAAGCTACGGCCAAACAGCTGACCACCAGCGGTGTAGTGCTATTTAGGTACCGGAGCGCATCTATTACGCACGCGCACAGTTACGGTGTGGCTCGTTTCGATGGTTGCTGTTCAGTGGCAAGTTAACACACATTAGTCAACTATTACTGACCACGTAGTGAAATGTTAGACGGACTTTAAGGAGGAATGATATGTTGATAAATCTGCGCTAGAGCGCAGTGAAAAACCGCGTGCCTCCACGGTGAATCCCAATCGTGCAGTATAATCCAAATCTCATTTAGCCATACGCTCAGTATCTCCCAAACACGTGTATTTCCCCAAAAAATCGTACTATTTAAAAAAATACGGTCTCAAACTTGCGCATGCGCGTTACAAGTCCGTGCGAGTCCAGATGAGTCTGAAGTGTTTTACTCAGTTTTCGGCTTCTCCCCCCACCGTGGAGGCATGCAAGAACAACTGTTTACCTCAAGAATTTAAGGTTACACGCGTTGAGCATTAGATATACCCTTCTAATGGTCTTCATCATCAAATGTGCACATTTTGCCCACAGTACCAACATGCATGCCCACAAAGACAAACGCACAAATGGACATATCGGATAATAATGAAAGTCTTTGTGTCAATGTCACGTTTTCTCCTGGAGTAGAGATTCCAGTTGCACCTCCTACAACCCCATCCAGCAGCACAGAGGAGCCATCAGGTGAGTACAGATCAGAACATTTACATTATTTTTTGGAAACTTATATTTACCCATATGCTGCTACGCATCCATATAAAGCCCACCTGGCTTTGAGGGGCTGATGTGAAGTGTACAAGGATTTTTTTTTTTCAACAGTTTCACTTCTCACCACAATATTTTTCCATAAAAAACAGACTGCAGGATAAATTGGATCCCTCTTGCCTTCCCCCTCCTTATTAAGGGGGTTCATGAATATTAAGCCCATTAGCAGCTTCCCTGGGATGTGCCTGCTTTAATCTCTCACACTTTCACAATTAATCAGTCTAACTGCGGCACAGTGGGGGTGTTGGTCCGCAGCGTGCAGCTCGGGGGCCGTTTGTTTGATGCAGGAAGGACTGGCTGAGGTGAACTGGATCTTGTATTTCATTGGTTGAATTTCTAGCTAAATGTTTCGTGGTTTGTTGGAGCTGTTTTCAGGTGAAATGGGATATTTTTTTATTGCAAATTGTGATATGAGTAAACTTGGAACAGTAAGAGACTTACAGCGTTATATAATGGTGATTCAATATGTGATGCGGTGAAAATTCTAGCACAAAACCTTGCATCTTGTGCCTCATTAGCATAAACACACATAACTCTACAAACCCTTTGGGAACGAGTCCCGCGTTGTGTCTTTTGGCCTCGTGGTGGAAAAAGTTGTCTCGGCTCACGACGTTCTCCGGACAGCGCCGTCGGGATACTGCCGGTCCCCCAGCTGTCCTCCACCGCCTTTCTTTTCTCTTTCAGTCTATTTTTCGCTCTCCTCCACCTCCTTCGTCTCCCTCTGTTTCACGCTTTGTCTTCACATAACACTGTGGGTGGTGCAGGAGCAGAATCTGGAGTTTCTCCGGGCCCCCTTTGTCAGGAATCTGTCCGCTTTTGGGCTGTAGGAAATTCACCTCACTGAGGGAATACTGGATAAGTGGGAGAAGGACCCGTATTACTGTTACTATTACTATTCAGCAAATGTATTGTTTTTTTGTTTAGCATCGAAAAACTAAATATGGGTTTTGGATATCCGTTGTTCTTTTGTATGAAAACTTACCTCTCCCTCCAATTCACTTTCATCATGTGAAATCTTTGCCTGTGGCTACATCCTGGTTCAAGGCTAAAAATCCTCTTATACTCTCATTGATGAAACCATGTGACTGAACTAATGTAAACACAACCTGAAGGAGACTGTAATGTCTTTGACTGTGTAGCTATAAAGAAAATCTAATCACGACAGAGAGTTCTGGGAATCCCCTCTCATATGTATAAGCCAAAGAGGTTGAAATCAAGCACCTTGATGGACGTCTTGCGTCACAATCGTGAGTAGTGGGGGGGGGGGGGTCCCGCTGGACCACCCGGGCTTGAGGAGCAGAGGATGAATACATAACCTTCTGAGCCTCCTCAGATGGTATTCAAACAGCTGGAATATCACCTAATATGGGATTGCAAAACAGATGAGGGGATTTTATCAGAACATCGAACAATATTTGCCACCCCACTAATACTGCACCAGATTAATATATAACATTTTTTAATTACTAAATAATAATAATAATTATTACTATTATTATCATGGTTATTATTATGATTATTGTTATTATATTATTATTATTATCGTCATTAATAGTAGCAGAAGTTGTTAAGCGGTAATGGTTGGGTTATAATATGTTTATTCAAGGGACAGGAGAAGTAAAAAAAGGATGAAGACGGAAAAATGGGAAATTTGATTAATCAAGGAGAATAAAAAAAAAACAGAAAAGAGAAAGAAGAATGAGGAGATGGAGGGGGAGAATAATACAATATGCTGCGGGTAAAAAAAAAAGGAAGAAGATGACTTTTAGGCTCTATTAAGACATGAAAGTTCATTTTGAAATAATATATATGTGGAACAAGTGTTCACAAGTGTGTGTGTGTGTGTGTGTGTGTGTGTGTGTGTGTGTGTGTGTGTGTGTGTGTGTGATAGCAGGGGGTGTTGGGCTGACAGCTGTGAGGCAGGTGCCTTGTTGCGCCTAAATCGAACGAAGAGGAGGAGGAGGGGGGCGTATTTTTTTGGAGGGGGTAAATGGAGAGCGTGAGGGGAAATAGAGTGGATATTAATTTGTCTCCCGCAAGCAGGGCTCTCCCCCTCTCGGCCACACGGAGGGCTGGAATGCATGGAGAATACCTCCGATGGTGTGGCCCAGACAAAACACACATTGTGCTGGTAGGTCACGGATGGTGTGAGTCGCCACTCCCACGGGCCGTGACAGAGACGTCTGCAGCGGCAGCGAAATGTGGAGGAGATTAACCGCTGATGACCTGTGATGGCCGCAACCCGGGCCTGTCAGGATAGGAAGATGTGAAAGTGACTAATGATGATGATGATGAGGAGGAGGAGAATCGGAGTGATGACGATGAGGCACTTAAGGGTAACGGAGTTCAGTCTTATTATGTGTGTGTGTCTTGTTCGAGGCTGGAAGTGATCAGAATCTGTGGCGGACCCCTCCTTGGATTCTTTGGACGTGAGTCTCGCTTCACACACCCTGTTCAGTACTCGTCGACTCCACCGCGCTTCACAGTCCTGTCAACGTGAGATCTTATCACGGCGCTTAATTGTGGAAGAAATAATGGGAGAAAAAAAATGTCTGCAATACGCAGGGCCAAAAATAGAACAGGACAGTATCAAATTCTCACCATCGATATCAAACCTTTGCACGCAATTTACATCTTGTTGCCCAGAACAGTTATTTTAATGACATGACGAACCTTGGCAGGGTTCTTTCCTCTCTCCGTGTCCCCATTGACTCATGTGAACCTCGTCAGCTGCAGTAACAGAGGACGAATCAACTCATCAGAACTGATTGCACGCCACCACTCCAATCAGGTCAGGACCTCTAACAGCCTCTTCGCTGGCTGTTGTCTGCCCCGAAGACAAACCGTCTTTTACTCTCTACGATACAATGAGGGGGGGAAAAAGAAGCGGGGGACTCCTTCTCTTTTCTCTCCTCGTCTTTGCTGGACGGGATCCAAACTCACGGCTCTTGTGTGAGCGGAGGAGGACAGAGCAGAGGCAGCACACTGGGCTCAGTAATCTAATTACATGCTTTATTTGCCGCAATTTGTTTCTCAATCAGTCTGGTTGAGGGAGAAAGCCCCCCTCCTGGGCCGTCAATTACACCTCCTTGTCTCGCCGCTGTGGTACCGCTGATGCCGCCCTGCCTCTGTGGCCACGTTATCACTGAGTATATAGACATGTATCCAGAGTGTTTCTAGATCAAGTTGATATAGAATGGCCGTTCACACCTGGCTTTGGCTTCGAGAGACCTCTTGAGATCAGATTTCACTCGCCTTGGTACATTTGATATTATCTGTGCAACAACAAAATACGTATTAGTACTCAGCCATACCGCTGCAGAGGTGGGGATGGTTGTTTTGAAACATGGAACTTCAACGCCTTTTCTTGGTCGGAAAATCAACCGTATTCGAGGTGTGTTGTGGACGTAGAAATAAAATAGGAGTGGAACGGACAATCCCATTCAAATCAACATAGCAGGATGGCCAGAGCGGCGGCCATTTTCATGTGTACTGTTGTCATTGTGATTGGTTGCAGTGGGCTAACTTCCGTACAAACCTGAGAGAGCCTGAGAAAATGAGTACAATCAACTAAATGCTCGATCCACACACTCTTGTCAAAGCGCGAGAAAGCACATTGCTATATCGCCAGAGAAGTGACAACTTTGTTTCATTTTCTGTAAACCGTGTAGCATTAAATCGTGCTGGAATAGAGCTAGCTAACTAGCAGACAGCTGGCCAGTTAGCGAGCTTGCTAATTCCACCATACTTTAATGCTGTGCTGGTTACAGACAATGGGCTGACCGGCGGCCTGGTGGCACGCGGCAGGGTCCAACGGTCCCACAGCCTCACTCCACGACGATGTGACCGCTCTCTTCCCGGCGAGCTGCGTCAAGACTGACATGTGGTGTCACCATAACACCATTTTTCTCAACAAAAAAGATGGATATCGGGGAGTGTGATTTAAACAAGTGTGATTTCTTTTCCATGTTTGCTTCGCACATGGGCTTCAATCAGCCACTTCCGTTGTCCTTCATTTTAATGTAGCCATTGTGTTTTGTTTGTGAATATTTTTAGTTCCTCCAATTATAAACTAAGTTGCAGTGGGTACACAAAAGCATACACTACCAATGTTATATTTTGGGGCATGTTTTTTTTTTTCCTAGCTAACACTGGCTGCTGAACCAAACCCAGGCCTGGTTTGGCTTCCATTGCCACCGTAAAGCTTTGGCTCAAACACACAGAACTGTACAGTGCAGTGTTCTGTCTTAAAGCAGCTTTAGTAAGAAGCATCCCAAATGAAAACGATTAGCTTAAAGGGTTGTACAGCACTTTGATGGAAGGGGCAAAGGTCCACCTCTCAGTTACGCTCTTCTCAGTGCCTCTGAAAGGCAGGAGACAAAGCGCTGTAGTAACTACATCTACTCAGAACACCCAAAGCACATTTTAGCTCAGTGCTACAGGACTGCTCCCACTTCCCCTGCTTGTAACGCGCACACAAAGGGAACATTTGTCCTCACGGTAGGGGACTGCCTGGCCCTAAATGGGGATCTCGGGGTGCTCTCAGCGGGGCCCGGAGCTGTGTCTCAGGGGTCCACTAATGGGGAACGAAAGGCTATCAAAGGGAAGTATCATGATGGCATCAAGGGGGGTTATGAGAAAACAAAGCTTGCTTTCCACAGCTCCCCCTTCCATCATTTACATGGTAATCAGGTGCAGCTCATATAGACTCCTCTGTTTCATTTACTCTGCCTATTTTTCGTTACTCTCTATTTACTAACAACCAGCTTGTGAGGCAACCAAATTTGGAATTTTTGCTGATTTGGGAATTTTACTTAAAAGCCCTGGTCCTCCTTCTCATCTTCTTCTTCCCATCCCCCCTGATAAACTTCACTCCTGTCTTTGTTTTTTTTTGTGTGTGGGGAGGGGGGGTTTGTCAACCTCTCCACCCCTTCGCTCTCCACCAGTATCCATTCTCCCTCCTCCCTCCCTGCATTTTTCCTCGTGGTGGTGTTCCCCGGGCAACCTCATTGAAACGGAGCATAAAGGAGAGTGAAGGCATGGGGCAAAGATCTGCTCACAACAATGAAGTTTGTTCATATTCAGGCCGCCTGACAGCTCCGGTCCTTCCTCCGACCATCACTCTCCTCCACTACTGCTCGCTGTCCATCCACCTCTTCCTCCCTCCTTTCTTGCACTACGCTCATTACAACTTGCAGCACTGAAGTGTAAACCAAATCGGTATACTCTGGATCCAATTAATGCCCTGCTGGGAGAGCGCTAAAGGAGCAGAAAAGAAAGGAAAACAAGTTGTTTTTTCTTTCTTATGATATGGCCTCACATCCCGCACTGTATGTGGCTGTCAACATGACAGCAACGCAGGGAGCAATCGCTTGCAGCTATATACGCTCTGGGTTGCTGGTGCAAAGTGGAGGGAGGCCGATACTGTTGCCTCCTTCACCTCCAGGTAATCAATCATAAAAGGTACAGCATATGTATATCCTTATGGATCCATATGGACAAGGAGCAGGGTTGGTTCTGCAATGCACACTTCTGATAATTCAAAACAACCAATGGGAGATCCAGTACGGTATGAGTTCCCTTACCGATGAGATTTCTTTCAAACATCATCTAGCTCTAATAACTCTAACTCTAGCCCATAGAAGTTGTTTTGTTTTGAGGTTGTTATCCAGATGACAAATCGAGCTGAAATACACTTTAAGCACTCGGCTGCCTCGGAGAGCGTGCACATACACATACGAGTGAGCCATGAGGAGATTCGGGTGGCCCCTCTGCCTGCGTGAGGTATTTATTTATTCACGGCTCCAGAGTGGACGCCTCCGCCCTCCCACCCAAAAAAAAAAAAAGGGGGTCCTCTGCCTAACGCTTCATGGATGGCTACTTTTCCCTTTCTGACCTCCCTTTGTGTGGCATTGACCCCCTTTCACACCCCCCACCTTCTACTCCTTCAAATAGCTGCCAGCCCTCAGCTCCCCCCCCCCCCCTCAACCCCCTCACGTCCACACTGCAATAAATGCAAAAGCTTGACGTGGTCCTCGGTGGGGCCTTGATGTCATCCAAGGGGTTATTTTTTTTCCGGGAGGTCGGGGGCTGAGGTGACAAGCGAGGTGAGATTTCGAAGTGAGGTGGTGGTGTGTGTGTGTGTGGGGGGGGGGTGCCTGCTCCGGGCCTGACTCTCATTCCCACACACTTGACGGGGAGTGAGTAGGTGGATGGCAGCGGGGTTCTTCCTCCTAAACCGCTGCTGGTACCTCCAGCTCCGTTCAGAGGTCCTCGCCATCACACATGGAGGTTGGTCAGAAGGTTAAAGTGCCTCCACTACGAACAGAACACACAACACACCTTCCATGATACAAGCAGTGGCATCAAAACTGCAGTCCTGTCCTTGTTCTTTAAAGTTATTTTAAGGGAACCTTACTTTCTCTTTCTTTGTTTCTTTTTTAAGACGGCCTTTTGGTCCACAACCAGAAATTTCCACACTTTCCATACCTGTAAATGTAGGTCCAACAGAGGAAAATATTTCTTACATTTCAATCTAGTGGAAATTATAAAGTTAATCATGGATTAGTGCTCATTAAAACTAAAATATAATAATATAATTCACACTGTAAACATTTTAATTCATATTGAAGGGGATATTTACCAGATTTTGTTTTTGACATGTAGATCATTTGTGGTGAATGTAATACATTTGCGTATTATAATAATAATTAATAACAATAATAATAATAATTTAAAATATTTAAATATTATTGTATGACTGACATTATTAAATTTAATTTTTAACAGATTTTTCTTTTCAATCCAATTTCTTTGTTTGTAATAAACATTTCATTTTTATTTCATCAAGTTTTTGACCAAATTGTATTCGACAATTTAATTACGTTAATAGGCCCCCCCCCCCTTATGTTCTGAAAATTGCTTATTGTGAGATTGTTTTATCACCCCCCCCAACAATAAATTCTTAACGTATTCACAAAACGCTCGCCCTCCATTACTAAATAAAATACCATTGTTTGTTTCCCCCCCTCCAGCCTCCTCACCGTATTTTCTCCCCTCTTGTTCTTGCAGACTGTGACTCTTACTGCAAAGCGTCTAAAGGCAAACTGAAGATCAACATGAAGAAGTACTGCAAGAAAGATTACGGTAAATCAACAAACCATTTCATGACTTGGATTAACGTTGACTTCTACAGGAAAGCTTTAAAACAGGTGGTCTGATGGAAGAAACACCCCGTTTCCTTTTTCACTGAGGCTTGGCTCAGGATAAAAGCATTTTTAAAAAGTTTCTTACTCTGCAGGAACAAATAGTGTGTGTCCGGCTTCTTTGGGAGGCAGCAGAACCACTGAGCACTGTTTGGGATACGCACTGGGCCCAGAATACCTCCCATCCCGTACATCCCAGTCCAGCACGCTGCTGGGGAGCTGCTGCAGTTTACAGGGGAGGCATTTTCACTGATGGCTTACTTCAGCTTTCTGAGGACAGAGACAAAGGATCAAACGGACGACAGCAGATCTTCAAGGAGGAAGAGAGCAGCGGACAAACAAAAAGAGAGAAAGGGCAGGATGAAGAATTAGGCAGAGGTGTGTGTGTGTGGGGGGGGTTGTCTCCCCGAGCGGGCATTTAAGACCCGAGGGGATAAAGCAAAGACAGTGTGACGGACAGTGGGCGCTCTCTCCAAGAGATCCTCATTAAGGCAGCCCACTTCCCCCACGGCCGACGCCATTCCCGCTGCATTCCTGTGGCCGCCCGTCCGCCACGCCATTCAAGGTGTGGATAAGATGTATGACCTCTCCCCTCTTCCCCCTCCCTCCGTCCCCTCCCTCGATTGAAGTCAGCCCGCTGAACCGGTCAAGCAAGCAGCGGCATCCTGCGGCATACCTCGGCAGCTTGACAGACAGGGCCCCGGGGGCTTTGTCCCGCAGGGATTTAGAGGAGTTAGGGGGGGGGCGGGGGGTCAGCTTATAGACACCTCCTCTTCCACCAGTGCCTACCTTGTCCGCTGATGTCGTGAGAAGAGCCTCGCCTTTGAAGCCTCCGTCCGTTCATCCACGAACGTGTCGGCTCAGGCCGGCCTCATCCAGCGTTCGTAGCAATTCCCACATCAAATAATGCGCCGTAATTTGTAGATATCCCACAAAACTAATCGTGTGTTATCCAAGTAATGATGGACGAGGAAGTATAAAGACATAGTGAGCGGGTGGGAGGGGAGGTCGATGGCTCCAACAAACAGCAATCTCTCAGCCAGGAGACCGTTGTTTGTTGCCCCGAGCGTAACGAGAAGTCAGCGTTGATGTTTTGGTCACGTAACTTGCGAACTCCGTAGTTATCTCAACCCAAACGACGATCTATGCCTAAACCTAACTAAGTGTCCTGTGAAGAAGTTTATTGTGAAAAGGCCGAATGCATGTAATAAGCGGAAATTGACACGTGTTTTCGTAGGAAAACGCACGAAAAATGAGGAGGGACTTTTCGTAGGATGTGGTATGTATGAGAGTACGTGGGTCAGCTGCATGGCGGTTTGCTTTTCTTTGGTTGGCCCAAAAAGCAACGTCATCAGCCTTTTCAATATCAGGTTGTTTAAATCTAGAAGTTGTAAATGACAAATTCATTTTGTCAGTAGGCTATTTACACTTGCATGATAACGGCAGGCAGCATTGATTCGAGGACGGAGTGGTAAAGAGAGACATCAGGATGTCCTGCTGGAGAAACCACTCATCGCGTTGCCGGAGCCAGTAGAGCTTCCCAGCTGGTTTGGCATGTGTTGTGTGTGAAGTGTAGGGGACCTGCTGGTGCTGATTGGTGGGATAATACCAAGCAAAATACAGTCGGAAGGTCCTCTTGTGCACCAACATTTATCAGTGAGGATGCAGGATATTTTTTATATAAGTATTTACATAAAACAAATGTGATGTATTCATATAGGAAAGAGCAACAGATAATTAGTCCATTTCTGAATCAGGTTATTGTTAAAACAACATCACAAAGGCGATCTTTGTAGGTAAGAACCATTAGCTTGCGGCAGCATGTTCAAAGATTCGTAACCGACCAGAACAAGATCCCTGTACAGTATTTACCACACACGAGCGAAGCGAAGCGGATGGAAAAGTCAAACACAATGTTAATCTACAGGAGCAGCTGAGAGAGAGCCACGGCTTTGGACCGTTTTGAAAAGATCAGCAGGGGAGCGGGGCTCCATGCTGCGTAGGGAAACACCGCCACAAGCTTCTGCGGTCGACATACAGCCGCACATAAAGAATCGCAGGAGGGAGCGGGGCGCAGGGAGGGGGTGGAGATGTCTGATGAACAGAAACATCACGGGTAGAACTACTCCGGGTATTTCAATGAGCTGCGATTGTTGACTAAACACAAACAAGAGGGACCAGCACCTGGTGGCAGCCGGTAGGTGCAAGGTGGTGCCGAGGTCACCGTCGGGTCGCCCCAGACCAGTCTCTGTTGACATGGGGCCTCGGGGGACATAGTGTACAACTGGGGTGAAAAAGATCTACAAACAAAGGGAGGTGGTACGTTGGGTGCCCCCCTGGTTCAGGAAGTAAAAGTCCCATTCGCTATCTGCATTGGCGATAAGACTCACAGTTGGAGCTATTCAACTGCTTGGATGGACGATGAGCAACTGTTAGAAAATACTTGGTTTTTTGATTCCAAAAAAAGGCTGACAAGGCTGGAAGCATGATTTCCCATGGTGCACTTTGGGGAGAAAAAAACATATCACATAGGTAAAAAAAAAAGAATCTGTTATTTGCACTGCTGGTGGTGGTCGGCGGATACTAACGATTTGGTTGTTAAGAAAAATGACAAACCTATCTGCAGCTGAAATGGCTCATGGGTAGTGTAGTATTTTGAACTGTGCGACTTGACAAACTGATTGACTGTTATCTCAATGTGCTTTCGAGAATTTAAACATATTGACCCTGGAATGCGCAATCTAGAATCAGATGTGTTGTCTTTTCCCCAAGTCAATAAAGTTTTATATCCAGTCAGATTGTACGGAAGTCTATGAGAAAATGACTTCTCACTTGATTTACTACCTCAGTTAACATTCTAAACATGAGTTTATGGTCTCAATTACTAGTTTCTTCGATAAAGCATGATGTTCATTTAGTAAATTATGGTCCATTTAGAGTAAAATATACCATAAAGCAGGGTATGCTTTAGGGCGGGACTACCTTGTGATTGACAGGTCGCTACCACGGAGTTGTCCGATCTGGGAGTTGTCTGTGTTTTCCTCTTACAACTTTAACCTTTCTACAGTGTGTTTTCACTTCATGAAAATGAATCCTCTTATTCAGCGCTCGGCTAACGGCCAAAAAGCCAAAATAACAACGGCCAAAAACCAAGATGGCGACGGCCAAAATGCCAAACTCAACGAACCAATGGGTAACGTCACGGTGACTACCTCCACTTCTTATATACAGTCTGTGCTCCCAAGATGGTGAGCCAACACGTGCAGGATATATCTCTTAATACTGCCACGGTGTTCGGCTCCATCAGCTCGACACTGAAAGTGAAACCAGTGACCCTGTAGCACATTTCAAAAGCTTTCCCGTGAGTACAGGAGAAGTATAATGGAAGTTAATAGAGATCTGGTCAATGTCAAACATATTGATACATGCTGGGTTAAGTTCCTCTCTTTCCCTCCCTCCCTCTCTCCGAGGACCATACCGGTTGATTCATCATGTGATATCACTGAGTGTCTTTCCGGCTCACGTCTCTAAGAGCCCTACCCTGTCTCCTAATCACATTTCAAATCACACTGCTCCGTCAGTAGTAATGGACACAATGCACGCGGGGCTGTATATTATAGCTGGACCATTGACCAGCCTTTTCCACCAAGGATGAAAACAGTATTCATACCACAAGTCTAGTTTATTGGGATTTACAAGCACATGATTTCACAAAGGTTTATCTGTGTTTATCACGTCTCTTATTTCTCAGGTCATTAATGTTATCAGCAGCTCATACTAACGAGATGTCAAAAATGATGACGAATGAGTGCTGGATGTTTATTTTATCAATTCTAATAATGGCATCTGTATTTTGTGTTTCACAATGAAAGCACTGTAAAAGCCCCTTGATTATCAGAAGAATATCCAACCTGTAGGGATGCCCCGATCCAAAATGACTCCTCCTTCATATATTTATCAGGTGATAATGTGTCATATCATTTGTCCAACCCGATTTCACTCCGCAGCTGTCCAGGTGCACATCCTGAAGGCGGACAAGGACGGCGAGTGGTGGAAGTTCACCGTCAACATCATCTCCGTCTACAAGCAGGGCGAGAGCCGCATCCGCCGCGGCGACCAGTTCCTGTGGGTCCGGGCCAAGGACGTGGCCTGCAAGTGTCCCAAGATCAAGCCCGGGAAGAAGTACCTGCTGCTGGGGAACGACGAGGACTCCCCCGGCCAGAGCGGAGTGGTGGCGGACAAAGGCAGCCTGGTTATCCAGTGGAGGGACACGTGGGCACGCAGGCTCAGGAAGTTCCAGCAGCGCGAGAAGAAAGGCAAGTGCAAGAAGCCATAAGCGGGAAAAAAAGATGGAGAAGATGCCGGAGAGGGAGAGGAATTCAAGAGAAAAGCTGAGCGGGTGATTAAAAAAATGATAAAAATAAAAAAAAAAAGAGAGGCAGACGGAGGACCGAGGACAGACAAAAGACTGTTTATGTCGCTGCTTTTTTCGTGTAGAAGCATGAAGAGAATTATTTAGGATGATTTGTTTTTTTCTAGTGGACTTTTGCTGAAGGAGCTCACCTCGCAGATTTGGCTTCATGGTTTATTTTACTTTGCCGAATTTGCACCTATTACCAGCATATAAAGTCATTTGTGTTTGTTTTCCCTTTTTTTTTTATCTCAGTATGAAACCATTATATTTTATGTTTAAATTTGTATGGACATTTCCTGCTGGTGCAAAAATGAAAAAAAAAAAAACGCCACTTAATAATTACCACTGCAACTTTCTGCCTCTGCATGGTTTTCTTGTTGTATTCTTAGCGAAGAAGCGAGCTTGTTTCATCAAAAGTCTTCACTGATCTGATTGAGGGGTAATAATATTTCTCTGTTAAGAATTGTGTCATAAAAAAAACAAACTGTTTGTAAAGCCACAGAAATGCATTATACATTAGATTCCCTTTCTCCCCGTTGTACAAATTGAGGTACGTCTGCAACTCAAGAAACAAGAAATCTGTAGTCCAATTTTTTTTTTTTTTTGCTGTCAGTACTTTTACAAATTCAGAACGTGCAAGTGACCGAAGAGGAACAAGGATAAAACACAGTATCGGCATATTTTTACTCCCCCCGTTGCCCCCTTCACATTTCACTGGTTACATGTTGGTGGTTCAGTATTTGTACAAACCTGCATGTGAATGCATCTCTTTTGAGACTGTAATGTTCAATTCACTACTTGGTGCTTTTACATAATGACCAGAGATATTCACAAAATCAGGAGTTGTTCTTGGGTAAAATATTTTTTTTGTTTGTTTTAACTCATTACATGCGTTTAGTGACAATAGGGACACAGTTTCCACAATGTAGTTCATTGTGCAAAGTGAATGCAACATTACAGTTGTGCCGATGAAAGCGCTGCATGTTGTCGGATTATACTGGGTAAAATCTCAGATTGAACTCGATCGATGCAGGAAGTAGAAAGCAATGAGAACGGGCATAAAGAAAGGAGAACAATGCCCTTACCTCATGCAGTGCAGACATTAATCCTAGGAAAATAAAAACTGAAGTGCAAACTGCACCTTGGAAAAAAAAAGAAAAAGAAAAGTGATCAACAATTCTGGATTCTGGATTCTGAGTGCGGATGAAAACCTTTACAGTCCAACACTCTCCTTTGCAAACACAATGCACGACTGTACATTCACTGTGCGACCAGTCAGACGCCGCAGTCTCCCATTGGCCTGTCACTTTAAATTCTCTTCACTTCGACACTTGCACAGGGAGGAACGGGGTGAATTGCAATCACTTGACGCCGCTTGATTTCGAGCCACATCGCTCGTGTGTGCAGTTGGGTTTGGATCCCTCTGAGGAATGCGTGGGTAAAAAAAACAGTGTGTCTGAAGTATCATAAACTGGATTTCCTTTCAGTCCATCCCAAAACAAAATTGAGCAACATTTTTTTAATGTTGCCCAAAGTGTTTGTTGGATCAGAAAATCACATTTAGCACCTTTTAATCTGTTCCAAAGTAACTGTAAAAAAAAATTTAAAAAAAAAAAAAGTAAAGGGGGGGGGGTTGTGGGGGGGGTGTTTGAGATCTTTTCAAGACACGTGGTTTTAATTTTATAGATTTATACTTCCTGTTTAAAATGGTAACAATTTCTTATTCCAATATCTCACTCAAATGCCTCCTAGATGGCTTTTTAAACCACGAGAAATCAAAATCACCTGGATTCAACTGTAAAATAAAAAGAACAGATGCCCTTACTGCTAAAGTACGTCTCAGTACTTACATTAAGGGTTTGATGGAGTGGTTCTTTTCAACCGATTGTGTTTGTACTGACGACAACACACTCACACATACTACATACATATCTACATGTTCCTGCCTTTCATTGTTAATCCTACAACGTAACATTACGTGTTTGTTTCTTTCTGTAACCTGTAATCCCACCTCTCTGGTCTCTGTGGCCTCATGCTGTACATTTTACATCCGTCTCCTGGGGCGATGGTTTTGACAAGCTTCCTGATGAAACGCTTCACACATACCTGTCAAAGCATTGCTTTGTGTTCATACTATGAAATTGTAAATGTTTAGTTGTCACCATTGCCATTTTTGTGTTTTTTTTTGCAATGTTTTACAATGCGTACTAATATATTATGGTTATTATATATGAATATATTTAATGACACAAGACATTGTGGATTTTATTGTCTTTTTCAACCTTTTTTTTTTTTTTTTTTTTTTCCTTGCTTGTTTGTGGTTGTTTAGATCGTTGCCACTAAAGAAGGAAATAATAACTACTGAACACACCAACCTGGTAGAACTACATTCAGATTTTCAGTTGAAATAAACTCTTGTTACATTAAAAAAAACATTTGCCTCTGTTGAGTGGAATGATTACGTTTTATTTATCGAGATGTTAAGTTATTCCAAAAGGCACATAGTTGACTTTCCTCCATTTACTAGTTGCCTATTCATAATATCACAAGTACAGTGGGAAAAAATATTATGCAGATTTCTCAATGGAAATATGGGTAGTGTGGAACTAGTATGTTCAGCTAAATGTCATGTAACAAAACACCGCGATCCTCCAGAGCGAGCCCTGAGCTTTAACACGGACAGACAGGAGTCTGGGGACTATTAAGTGGAAATGCAATTTATTAGAAATGACAAGGCGGGTTGATGTACAAGCAAGGAAAAGCAGCCATGTTAGCTACACAGCCGAGCCGACTGTTTCGGCTGAAAGCTATTTTATAAACGTTATAAAATCCCAAGACAAATGATAACATTACAGCTGCTACAGTAATGCATGGGTACATACGAGTGAGCGTGAAGGTTGCAAAGATTGCACTGTCCGTCAGTGTGAGCCTCGGGCCCGGATCCGCAGACAGAGAAAAGCTCCCGCTGCCTGCAGGACGTCCCACTGCTGGGTCAACAGTCGCCACAGAAATATCTTACAAACCCCGAAATAATTTAACTGTTTGATACATTGCGAATTTAATAAGACAGACACTTCAACAACTGATAAATAGAACAAGTATATATTCTATTTATTTTTTTTAAAGTCTTCTTTTCACATTGGCTTGGTTGGGCCTTTGTCTCCATATGAATCTGATGACAGTGTTTATATGACTACATGTGTGTGCCGTAGATGCAAAAAGGTTTCAAACGGTCGTCGTAGGAGTCGTTGAGCGCAGGTCGTCGTCAGCTACACGGGCCACGCGGCGATCACTACGATGGCTATGAGGAGCAGCACGATCACCACCAGCATCCCTGAAGGAGGGAACATGAGAGGAAAAAGGACATCAGATGGCAAAGGCCAAACCAGCAGAACAAACAATGAACTGATCCTGCCAACAAAGTAATTGTATCCAAAGCTCGATACAGCTCACTCTTCTGTGCAACAGAGCTACATTGTTGTCATTGTGTCACACTTTTGCACGGGGTGACATGTTCATTCAATACTACGAACGCGGTAACTGTTCTCTGTCAACACGCACTCGAGCAGACGTTCCTACAGACGGGGGTCGGGATTTTATTTGGGTCGCCAAAATAAATTTGCAGAATTTCTTCCATTTTCTTTAACGTTTAAATCTGCCACACGAGCCACACTAGGAAGCCTGACTGTTCGCGTTGCTCTTGTAATTGTAGCCTATTTATAAGATATACTAGCAACTCCGTTTGTTTGACCGTTGAGAGGAGATGAAAAAGTGAATTCCATCAAAACGCATGTAAATGGTCTCATTTATAAAGTATTAATTATTTACATGCTTTCAATAACACGTGCCTAAAACAAAGTTGTGATTCATCAAACGCATATCTCTTCTAAATGGCTGGTTCTCCTATTCAAGATAATATGAGGTGATGTGGAAATGGCATTAAGAATTGGTCAGGATGTCCATTTATAGTTTGTGAATTGGGTCACGAGGTTTGTCATTCTTAAAAATTGGGCCCCCAGAATATAAGTTTGGGAAACTCTGCCCGAGAGCACCAAATGTGTATTAATCTGCAGCTGAAAATAGTCCCAAACATACAATACAAAATACACTACCTACTCATGTTTGAGTGTCATTTGCAAAAAAACGCAGCACTTAACTGTTTAAGAAAGATAACTCACCATTTAAAAACAACAATAAATAAACATTGTGACTATTTAAATGAGGTCACTATTCAAACAAAAGTATTTTATCTTACATTTACTTTACCCCTTAGTGATGAAACCTTTGCAGTGCAACAAATCCCCTCTAACTTGTCGCAGATTCAAACGTCGAGCAGCTGAGGAACTCCACACATGATGTGAGAGGGATCTCAGAGAGGAGGGGAATGCAGCACTCAGGGGAACACACTTGGAAGAGGTAAGAAGCCGACATACCTCACCACTCGTTTCGAAAATCCTTGATCTAACGCAAGTCCCAAGTGCGTATGCCCTCGCAGCATGTCACCATTCTTCTCCTGATGACTTAATGCAATTTACATGCGTTCAACAGCCACACAAAAAATAAAAAAAAAAGCTTCATTGCCACAGATTGCACACTGTGACAGGCATATGTTTCTGATTCCGCCATGTGAGGATCATCATTGTTTTTCACTGATACCATGGAAGCAGAGAAGAAATGTGCAAAAGCTCACTCACACTTCATCAAAGTGCTTTACCCCCAGGCCTTGAAAATATTACACGTTTTATTATAGCCACCACCCAAAAAAATATAAAAACGTTTCTGTTGTAAAATCCACTACAGGTGGAATTTCCATTCTTTGTAAAAAAAAAAAAAAAGTTCTTGTGAGAACTGGACAATAAAATTTTATGGAATGTTGCCAACTTGGAAGGGAAGCTAGAGTCCGACCGACAAAACGCTGGGCCGGTATTTTGGCCAACATTAGTCATATCAGTATCTCAGAGGCCAATACGCAACAAGTAACTATAGAGAAATGCCAAAGGTTTAGAATTAGTGTCTCTACAAGAGAGACGTTTGACAAATGTTTGTCTTCAAGGAAATCAAAATCAGCGAATATATTGGAGCCAGATTATTTCCAACTCTTGAATATCAACATCTGTATCGGCCTTTAAAAAATAAAAATAAAAAATCCAGTGTTGGTCGGACTTTTACTGAATCTTAAAACAGGAGTAGCTATGGAAACCCAACTCTAAAAGCTCTTTGGTAACATCTGTCATGGCGATAACACCACAGCGTTGGGAACTTAAAGAGTGGTCGGTCAAATATATTAAAATCTGACATCAGGTTTCTCGGGGATATAAAAGAGAAGTGATGGTGGGTGGCTTCTATCATGCGCTTCATAAACACGTGAATGTCTTTAGGATGTGGTGTGTAGTGTATTACATATATTCTTTCATCTATACCACACACACATTAGATATGGAGAACTTTCTTTGAGGGTGCGGTCACCCCACCACCCCCTTTCGTTCCATCCAGAGATGCTCGGCGGTGAAGATTTCAAACAAACAACTGCTTCTCCGGCTGCTCCGACGGTCCCCTTCACTCAACTCGTCCATTGTTTTTTAGCACGGGGCTGGTATTTTCCCCAGCCCTTCACTTTGGGTTTACATTTCTCTCATTCTTTGGCCCCTCTCCTCCCGCGTTCCCCCTGCGCGGCCTAATTGGACGTCTTTCCCACAGGGAGAGAGACGGCCCGAGATATAAGCCATGCTGAACTAATTGCTCGCGGTGGTAGTGGCAGGCGGCGGCGGCGGTGTGGCGGTCTGATGAAATGCAAGGCTGACGCTGGTTTCTCTGCCAGCAGTCGGGGGTTTGCGGCTGTAAGGGGTCCAGATGTCTTTGACTCATTGTGCCATTCCTTTGTTTCGTTTAGGTATTTATGGCGGATAGACTCTTTCTGTGCATAGTTAATTCTTTGTGTGTTTCCACTTGAGGGGAAGGTGTTCGTATTAAAGGTCCGCGGGACATGCGTGTTAGAAGCCATCACTGGTCCAGACAGGACCTCTCCTCCTGATCACTTACACATGTGAGAGTAAAATAAATGTCAAAGTAGAAACACACGCTGGGATAGTTTTTTCGTGATGGCTTTTTAAAAGCCTCATGCTTAAAGCAAATACACACACACAACACACATTCCCAGCAATTATCTTTGTTTGGGTGTAAACGACACCCAGTCCGTGTTGGATTCAGACATCAGAATTTCATTCAGCCCGGACCAACATCTGTCAGCGACTCCGTTTGACGATACCATAGCAACAATAGCAATAAAGGCTGTGTAACACACGCATATGTTAGTGTGGTGCGAGGCTCTCACACCCTCCTAATGTCATGCAACAGTCAGTCATAAAGCCCCGTTAGACACCCGCGCTGACCCTCGCCCTCCCGCTCCCCTTGGACCAGCCCCGTCTGCCTCAGTGACTAAACAAGCTACTCCTGACCCCCAAGGAGGCCTCCGGAGACTAATGACAATAATGGCGTTTGCTTGCCAAATAGATTAGGGCTCTGGTGTGACACTGATGCTGAGGGAGATAGTCGGTGTCTGCTGATAGACTGACCACCCAGGAGCTTTGGGAGGCCCGAGTCTGGGTTCATCCCATCTTGGCAATTTTTTCAGACGCAATCGGTGAGACAACTGGCAGAGAGAAAGAATAATTTGTGAGAGCTCTGGACGGGCTGAGACAACCCCCGAAACGTCCCCTCGCTGCTCCCCCCCCGTGGCCCCCTGCTTATGGTTCAAAGATCTTTTTGGACCACAAAAGGCCAGGGTGACCTTTAGAGGAAAAAAAGGGAATTGTTTTGTGTTAACAAGGTCAGTGTGATGCTCATCATTTTTCTCAGCGCGCAATAGAGGAGGACAAAAACTTGACTTCAAGTGTTAGATACACATCTAAAACATATGTATATCAGAAGTGTTTCTAATCTAACAGAAATAGTGTGTTGGGACTTTCACAGCTGTAGTTGAGTTCTTTTGGTCTGGAGGAAACAATGATAAATATGTAATAAACATGAAATTATACGGACTGACCGAAACTAACGAGAAACTTGTTAATCGGACCGTTTTGGAGATTGCCATCCTGCATCATGTGAGGAAATTAAATTCCAGCGACTGAAGTTTATGCAGCATTTTAATGCTTCTGATGTGCATGTTTATGTTCTTTGATTAATAGCTGATTATGCGTATCTTTAAACCGCAAATCGTGCACGTTATGATGAATAACGGTAGAAACAGTGCTGTTCAAAAGACGCTTTCTGCGCTTCCAGATGCCAACGTCGAGAAGTGCATGGACACATACGTGAAGCGGATTGCAAAAATTGCATATCTGCTACCACGAAAACCTGTGGTTGGTTGGTTTTTCTTTTACACCCCAAACAAACTGCACCAGAGTCCACTTTTTCAGGCGGCCTCCTCTCTGTTTCGGTCCTCACCGGGGTTTGATTGACAGCAAATCAAACATTTGACCCGATGATGACGGTTGATGAAACATTAGGGGATCACCTGTGTGATTCCACTTCGTCCTCAGGGGGACATCAATGAATGTTTAAAATATTTATAGATTTCTAAAGGCAGGTTTACTTTGACTTGCCACTCGCTAAGAAGAATCTCATTAGCAGGATGTACTACTTCAAGCAAGCCTTCCATCAACCATGTGAAACATATTCAATTGCCATTTCTAGTTTCCAACTGTTTACCGTGTCAGGACAAAAGGAGGAACAAGAGCTGGAAAGAAAGATCTAGCCGATTAAAGTTTTAAAAGTTGGACCTCCCTAGTGACCAAAATGAGTGTTTCCTTGACAACTCCCGACTATTTACATGCTCTTCTTCCAATGCTGTCAAATGCTGCCCCTCACCCACAGTCTCTTTCGGCGTCCCCTCTAGTCCGAACAGTACCAACCTACTTGAGATGCGAGCCACCTGCGGGATTGACGGCGATGCAGAAGTGCCCCCTTAACACACTGAGGATTAGCTCTGCTGAGAAGGGCTGCTCAAGCACCGATGTTGCCGGATGGTGATGCCTAAGCTCTGGGGGAACTCACACACCACTCTCCAAAGAGACCCTTTGGTCCCGTGGACTAATCTGCCACACTAATCCAACCAAACTCAAAGCCTCCACTCCTCAATTCCCACCAACATCATCTAAAACAAGTGGTAATGACTCTGTGAATCAGGCTTAGCTTGGCTAAGTGACAGCATTGGACCAGCGGTATAAAAGGGAAAAAATAAGTTATTTAAGGATGGGCATTGTTTGCAAATCTATGCTACAACTGCCAATTCTGAGTTTCAGCACCAATACAATCATTCTATCCACTTACTTACATAATATAATTGTATTTCTCTTACCAAATCCCTTTTATAAGTTCAACAAAATAACAGAATTCACAAAAGTGTTTAGTTTAGTGTTTTTAGTTTTAATGAAATACAGTTTACAATTAGTAAACTGATTTGAATAAGTCAAATTAGTAAGGTTGTTGTTTTGCATCGGTCTCATTTTGTAAAAAAAAAAAAAAACCTTTGTTCCTATTGCAGAGTGTAAAATAATGACGGGTTTCAACTGCTTTAAAGTGTTTCAATAAAGTCTAAATCGTGTGTACATTTAGGGAGACGGATGTCTCCGCAGGGCCGTGCTGTGGAAGAATCCAGTATGTTTCAACACAATGGATGTTTCACAACACTACGGGCACCAGACATGCACAGTATGCCACAACAACCATGCTCGAGCAGCATGTGGGTCCTTCCCTCTTTTTTTAGTGAGATGACCCGTCCCACAGCTCGGCTTTCAGCTGCTTCTTGCAGATCTCTGGTGCCTGCGTTCAAAACTGTTTTTCCCCCCCAATAACTGAGTGCAAACGTCTGATGATCTCTATTGATAATCCTACAGTCAAGAACATATTTCTTGGAACGTCTCCAGCTCTTAGGCTGCAAAACAAAGATGCCTTTTTTTTTAACAACGAGGCGGCCACCAATAGTTATGTTAAGCATGCTCCCGCCTGTCAGAGCCAGACGTTTCTAGCTTTACAAGGACTCGGCTGAGACATAACACCCAAACGGCGGCTTTGGATGAGAGGTGGTTTCAAAAATAAATAAAGCCTTAAAGCTAAGGAATTATAAACACGCTTCCATGGAGAGAGGGAGGGAGAGAGAGGGAAAGCCCTCCAAACAATTTGTGGCATGTGGTATTTTCAATTCTTTCTCTGCTTGACACAAAGACGAGTGTCAAACAACTGAGGAGACGAACAGGGGGATGACAGAGAGGAATGGAGGGGAGAAAGAAAAAAAAAAAAGAAAGAGAGCGTTGAGGTGAGAGTGAAGAAGACCATGGGGGAATTTTCCATTCATAGAGAAGACACACACACACACACACACACACTTTCCAGTGCACTCCAAAAAATATGCACCGTGCGCCGTATGCGATGCATATGAACATGCAGATGCACACAGGAAAACACACACACACACACACACTTGGATATTCTTCAGCCTGGAACGGAGGAGAGGGAGGAGGGAGTTGGGGTGGCGAAAAGAACAAGATAAACAAATGGAAAGACGGAAAGAAAAGAGTCCTGATTCTAACACAATATGAGCTCTGGGATCTTCAAACAAACTCGCGCTCGGGCACCATGGGGACGCGGCGGACAGAAGGAGGCATCCTGAAGGGCTGACCTCCCTTCTGCCCGCTCTGCTTCCGTCTGCGACCGCCCGTTCACCAGGTCTCCCAGCGTGCAACAATGCAGCCCTTTGCCATAGAAAGGCTGTTTGGCGTTTGACTGGGTAAACTGAAGCCCTCGCATTCCACGGATCGGTTTCAGCCAGCTGACACACCTCTCATGGCAGCCGCTCTCCTCTGAAAAAGCATTACCCACTGAGAAAAACAAAAAAACAATCTTTATGTAAGTGGCGAAACAAAAGTTAAACAGAGCGAAGCGGACCCGAGATAATTGAGAGGGGAGGGCCGTGCGTTCACAAGGCCTCTCGTTGAACAACTCGTCAAAATCCGGAGTTGAGACTAAAATCAGAGTCATAAGTGCGGCAAAAAACGCCTCCAGCGAGCCTTCACCACCCACATCATCTGTGCCCAGAGGGCTTTTCAATATCAGCATCATATTTGCTGCACCATTGAGGCCAACATTGCTCAATTCCTGAATGCTAAAGATGAAAAATGTCAGATGATATTACGTCTAAGGGAAGTGTTATTCTTTTGTCCAACTCTACGTCTCACACCAGGCGGAGTCGTGTCCTCTATAAATGCTATAGTCTGTTAGACATCTGCTCTGTGAACGGCGTGAAGGGAAAAGAAACAGGGGAAACCTGATGCTCAGTACTCGTCCATATAAGTAAACAGATTAATTGTGATTTGTTTGAAGGACACAGATACCAGGCCTGCTTTGGACCAAGATGCTCCACAGTAAAGGCTCACCACAGGAGGCCGACTTTGTCTCCACAAGCTTCACCCTTCGTGTCTCGTTACGAATCCTGTCGTCCGTCTTGTCCACAAGATGCGAGATGTCGTCAATGATTTCTGAGAGACGGAGACAGAGAAAGAAAAAAAGAGAGGAGAAAAGGTCAATAAAGGACATTTTGGCTTCGTATTATGTTGCTATCTGCAATTTTTAAGACTTCACAATGTTTTTTTTCCCCCCTTCATTTTATTGCATAAAAGACCTCCCAATATGTTTAGTGCAATAAAAGAAATTACCCGAAATGAAAAAGTGACAGGTTCTAAAGGGAGTTGACATCAGAGCAGTCAACAACTTCAAAAAGGCAGAGGCTGCCAACGCGCAGACATGAGTGGTGGTGATGGAGGGAGTGGGCTGTGTGAAAGCGCTCCTCGCGCTTTCAAACGGTTTCACTACTTCCTGAATCCATTCTGGATTCAATCAGGCACTCATTGTTTATGAGTTTTAAAGACGTAAGCCCGGGCTTCGGGGACTATGCCTGGGCGTCCAAAGAAAGAGAGCGTGGGTTTTGTGTGCGTGTGTGTTTGGCTGTGCGGCTCGGGTCCCTTCAGTAGGAGTTCCTGACTTGAAGGTCGTCCAGATGGAAGCCTGTGTGATTTGTCAGAGTCAGCCGCAGTGTTGACACGGCGCCTCCAGAGGGTCCGACCCAACAACAAAAACAGATAACTGTCCAATTCCTTTTCACGAATATTCAGACACTGTGCCTTTAAATGAGCCGAACAGTTGTGGAATCACAACTATACAATATAAAGACTATTTCACAGTTTTAAACATTCAAAATGTGTCCCGGTTTACTTCCGGTTGCGGTGTATGCGATTGACATCAGCTGACAGGAAGTAAACATGGACCCAAGCTGTTGGTTAGCGATGCAATTCTGTTGAAACCCGCTAAAACGGAGCGTCTCAGACAGAGGGTGAATACCGGTATATTCAGACAGACAGTATTGGAAAAATAAAGAATTTTAATGAACATTAAAGCATGTAAACACGTTCTAGTAGAAGTTTTATTGCATTAATGAAATAGAATTGCCCTTTCAACTTAAACCTCTGTATATAGAGATCTAGATAAGTCCTCTCCAGTAGCCTTCTAAATTAAAAAAAGACAAAAAGAATACGTGGCTGAACTATAAAGAAACCAGTAAAACAGAAACCAAGGTCGAGTTGAAGAAAGGGAAGGTCTTCACAGCCTCTGATGAATGGAAGTTTTACAGGAATGGGAAGCTCGACTCATCCTCAAACCACTGTTCAGTGCCAAGTTAGACTGTCCCTTCTGGGGAGGAAACGACATTTTATTGCTGTTGCTGCAGCAATATGGAAAATTAGTACACAGTCGGTGCGTTCTAAGCTTTTTTTTTTTTTTTTTCAAACCGTGACCAAATTCCCACAGGTGAGCGCTCAGGGTCATCTGCAGCATTTGTCTTCGTGAGCGCACTTGTCTGAAGCTCTAGTTGCCTTTCAACTGGATTGGTGAGAGAACACGTTTTCATCAACTAGGAGCAATCACAGCTTGACGGGACTGTCTGCGTTTTCGCTGACATCGGATAATTAAGGTGCACCGATAATTCGAGGAAGGAAAAGTAAAAAGCATGACAGTGTGGAGGGCCAGAGCGTGAAGGGGGGGGGGGGGGGGGGGGGGGGGGGG